TGAAGACTGCAAGACGGGCAGTTAAAGCTACATTCTTATGTATGTACACTGACATCTATTTGAATTGCCTAATATGTGAATTAAAATAGTCGGTGCATATAAACTAAATTAATTAAACACACGCACACACACATGCACACAAACACACACACACACACACACACACACACACACACACACACACACACACCACACACACAACACACACACACACACACACACACACACACACACAATGAGGAACTTTCTGCAAGACGTTCAGTGGGAGAGGGAACTGACAGGAAAACCAGTACAAGAAATGATGGACTATGTGACAACAAAATGCAAGGAGGCAGAGGAGAGATTTGTTCCCAAGGGAAACAGAAATAATGGGAAGACCAGAACGAGCCCTTGGTTCACCCAAAGGTGCAGGGAGGCAAAAACTAGGTGTTCTAGAGAATGGAAAAGGTACAGAAGACAAAGAACTCAGGAAAATAGATCAGCTGAAGAGCCAGAAGCATATATGCACAGATAAGAACTGAGGCTCAGCGACAATACGAAAATGACATAGCATCAAAAGTCAAGTCTGACCCGAAGCTGTTGTATAGCAACATCAGGAGGAAAACAATAGTCAAGGACCAGGTAATCAGACTGAGGAAGGATGATGGGGAGTTCACAAGAAACAACCAAGAGTTATGTGAGGAGCTCAACATGAGATTTAAAGAAGTATTTACAGTGGAAGCAGGTAGGACTCCAAGAAATCAGAACAGGGAGGTACACCAACAAGTGCTGGATGAAGTACACATAACCGAAGAGGAGGTGAAGAAGCTGCTATGTGAACTTGATACCTCAAAGGCGGTGGGACCAAACAACATCTCTCCGTGGGTCCCTAGAGAGGGAGCAGAGATGCTGTGTGTGCCACTAACAAAGATCTTCAACACATTCATTGAAACTGGGGAACTACCTGAGGTATGAAAGATGGCAAATGGCGGTGGGACCAAACAACATCTCTCCGTGGGTCCCTAGAGAGGGAGCAGAGATGCTGTGTGTGCCACTAACAAAGATCTTCAACACATTCATTGAAACTGGGGAACTACCTGAGGTATGAAAGATGGCAAATGTAGTCCCAATTTTTTAAAAAATGAGAGAGACACGAGGCATTAAACTACAGACCTGTGTCACTAACGTGTATAATATGCAAAGCCATGGAGAAGATCATCAGGAGGAGAGTGGTGGAACACCTGGAAAGAAACAAGCGTATAATCGACAACCAGCATGGTTTCAGGGAAGGAAAATCCTGTCACAAACCTTCAGGAGTTTTATGACAGAAGTAAGACAGAAGTAAGACAAGAGAGAGAGGGGTGGATAGACTGCATTTCCTTGGACTGCAAGAAGGCCTTTGGCACAGTTCCTCACAAGAGGTTAATGCAAAAGCTGGAGGATCAGGCACACATAACAGGAAAGGCACTGCAATGGATCAGAGAATACCTGACAGGGAGGCAACAACGAGTCATGGTACGTGACGAAGTGTCAGAGTGGGCGCCTGTGACAAGCGGGGTTCCACAGGGGTCAGTCCTACGTCCTGTGCTGTTTTTGGTATACGTGAATGACATAACGGAAGGGATAGACTCAGAAGTGTCCTTGTTTGCAGATGATGTGAAGTTAATGAGGAGAATCAAATCGGCCAAGGATCAGGCAGGACTACAAAAAGACCTGGACAGGCTACAAGCCTGGTTCAGCAACTGGCTCCTTGAGTTTAACCCTGCCAAATGCAAAGTCATGAAGATTGGGGAAGGGCAAAGAAGACCGCAGACACAGAGTAGTCTAGGTGGGCAAAGACCGCAAACCTCACTCAAGGAAAAAGATCTTGGGGTGAGTATAATACATAAGAACATAAGAATGGAGGAACACTGCAGAAGGCCTACTGGCCCATACAAGGCAGGTCCTCATCAAAACGACCCCTACCCAAAGCTACCCAAGAATTTACGAGCACATCTCCTGAGGCGCACATCAATCAGATAACTGCTGCACCCCGGGGCGTCGGGCAAACCAAGAAGCGTTCGAAAATCAGAAAGGGAATCGTTCAAGACTCTGTACCCATTACGTCGGATCATATTGGAGTGGTAGCACCAGTTTGGAATCCACACCTGGTCAAGCCGCAAAAATTAAAAAAGTGCAAAGGTTTGCAACAAGAGCAAAGGGGAACTGCCTACGGAAAGGTTAAGGGGGAAATTGGCCTGCGACATGGAGGACAGGGGGTGGGGGGAGACATGATAACGACATAAAAAAATACGCGCGGAATAGAAAGGGTGGAAAAGGGGACAGGATATTCCAGATATGGACACGAAAAAAGGGGGCAAAATTTGGGAAAGTGAAGATTCAGAGGAGTCAAAGGGATGTTGGAAAAATTTCTTTAGTCATAGAGTAGTCAGGCATGGAATAGCCAGAAAGGCGTATGGGGGCGGGAACCCAACATAGTTTTTTAAGGGGAGGTTGATAAGCTCATGGAGAGGGGGGGAGAGGGACCCAGTAGCAACGTGAAAGGGCGGGGCCAGGAGCTAGAAACCCACCCTTTAACCACAAATAGGTGAGTACACCCACCACACAACACACCGCACCAGACACACACACACACACACAACACACCCACAAAACAAAACCAACACACACAACACACACACACACACCACACACACACCACACAAAACACACACACACCACATCTCTGTTTACATACTGTGGGAACGGTGAAATTTTGGGTTTGATAAATTGTCAATTCTTTTTCCTTCTGGGAAGTGTAAGGGAAAAAGCCTCACTTTTCAAACACAGAACAACTAAGTTTAATATAAAAAGACAGGGATCCCTGTCTTTTGTAGCATTTGTCAAAAAAAACGACACTGAATGAAAACCTCGGAAAATTCTGGACCATAGTGAAATAAAAATTAATTAATTTATTGAAAAGAGATAAATTATATGGAAACATGTATTCAGGAGCGAAACCAGTTTTACTCTTTCAATGGCTGGGGGGGCAGCGCTAGAAGTTTTTAAATATACGGTATGGGCAAGGGATAAGTGCAACTTTCTAGGCAGTCTTGGGTGCTTTTACCCAAAAGTTTTGGGCCCCAACCATTTTATGGCCAACTTGTTGACCCGATTCAGACATTATTGTCTGTTGAAAATGGTTTTTATTTTATTGTTTTTGTGCCATTCACTCCAGGTTCCTGCTGCGTCCTAAAGATGTCCAGGTTACTATAAACCAGGCACCCCCGGGTGCCTCCACAGTCAACCACCTCAGGCCAAAATACTTAGCGGGCCTCCACCCTAAGCCCATGACTCCGTGTCTAGGAGGAGGTTTAGGGAGTGAGCACTGTTCCGAGGGTAACTGGGGGGTAGAGGTCATGGGCCCAACAGGGTAGCAGTTCCTCACCTCATACACACACTGTTTGTTGCCTACAATACTCAAAACCAGCGCCAACTTATTGAAAAAGCGTAACACCAAAGTTTTAAAATTAAAATAAAAATATTATATATATATATATATATATATAAAATTTTATAT